TAATTACAGTAGATGTGATGGATGGAAAGAATAAGACAGCTTCTGCATGCTCAGGACCAGTGTGGGACTCTGCAGAGCAGAACACTTTAATTAGGGAATGCCTAGCCCAGCACAACTGGATGAGTCTGACGAAGCACGTGCTCCAGTTGCTAAAATAAGCCTTCGCCTTTGCAGTGTCTTTTGTTTTCTCAAGTTCGGGCCAGGGATTTACTTCAGCACCTCTGAAGAATTTGTTTTGAAAAGGGAATACAATCTAGCAAGACATCACTTCATCCTTATTACATGTAACAAGATTGTGAAAGGAATTTATGGGGGAAATCAAATATGCAAGCACAGGCAAAATCAAAACAGCAGTTTTTATTGGCCAACCAGGAGCTCGTCATTACTTATTTGCTCCTCAGTGCATCCAGTGATTGATCATTATTTATAAACCATTAAAACCCAAAGGAGATATACAGAACAACGGGAACAAAATCCAGATTGTGAGTGTACTCAAAGGTCTGCGCACGAACACACACACAAAAAAGCATTTACGGAGCATTTCTTCAAAACATATTGACCATAGTTACAACAGCTGGAGCTGCAGCAGCCTTTGTCCACTTTTACACACCTAACTACAAATAATGGACACGGCACTGATAGGCAAGTAGGTTGTTCAGGGATGCGAGTACTTTCTTTGTTAACTTTTGTGGTATTTGTTAGTCCATAATTTGTTTATTTGGTTATTTCTCTCTCTTTATACATGTGTATGCTGCCTGCTCCAGATCATGCACAGCATAACAAGAGGATGCATTTATTAGTTGTGATCACATCCCAAAGCTTTTTTTTTCAGACAGATGAACCCACATTGTCCTTGTGTGCTTTATAATGAGAAGCCAAACCAACTATTTCAAGCTGCCTAGTTCACAGGGCAATTACAACCTCAATTATAATTCAAGCTTACTGTTTTACAATTAATGTGGCTTTCTGTCAATATGTTTTTACGACTGATTCTTTCCAGTCCACGATGACACAACGATCCATATGGCCTGGTCTTCATCATTTTTACTCCGGTGTTCTGCTTCAACACAACAGGCTTGTGTGTGTTAAAGCGTTTGTATGAAAAAATAACACCTAATCCTGCCTTGGTAACTGGGAAACAAACTGTTAATTTAGTTACTAATGAATTAAGGATTGGGATCTCTATGGACACTCTTCAAATGCTTCAACACAGTTAAACATGACCCAAAGATTAAAGGCAGCAACCCGACTTCATGTCTTAAATTACAAAGATAACCCTCAGATAATTAACCTTTTATGAAGTTACAAGAAAATGCTTTTATTTCTCTTGAATCCAGATAGGCAAAAAAGAAGAAAGGGTGCAAATTGAGCCAGCACTTTTGTCACTGTTGTTTCTGCCTTAATTATGAATGAGAGGGTTGAGGTGCAAGAAAGTGCTGTTGGGTCTGTATTGATTAGTATTCAGCCGCATATTTTAACTTTAAAACCACAAGTGTTGCTGTTGTTTAAGGGTCTCGGCTGCTGTCTACAAAGGAAAACAATTAAAATAAACCATCCTAGCTTATTGCTTCTTTTTATGTTTGACTTCAGTAATGGTGATTTTCATATGACATTATAAGGCCTGATCTTCTTTACTGAATCCGTGGACTTATTGATGAAGGATCATCCACTCTAAAATCTGGCAACATTTGACCCAGCACCGCTGTTTGTTATATCAAACACGCCTGCAAGTCTGTGATGCTGCGACTTAAAAGTAAACAACGTCCATCTGACCTTTCCTTCCCAGCATCTTCAGCAACTCTGGCACAATTTCACTGTTCCGCTAGCATTCCTGCAAGTCAGAACTGCTTGTTGGTTTGTGAGGTTCGCTTATTTGGCAAATCATGAAAAGTGCAGACCTGCCCCACCAAATTAAAGAGTGGTTTTATTTAATTTAGCAGGAGGTAAGAGTTGGATGAACAACAAAAAAAGCCCCAATGATGTGAAACAGTCCATTACTTGAGATTAACCGATTTAGCTACACTTTGCAGGAGCCACATGCCGTTCATCTGCTCATATAAGGACTGAAGTGGCTGTGTATCTTCTTTGGCTGTGCAACTAAAATGCTTTGAAACCTAATGATGAAACAACAAGCTCGTATTTTACTATTTCACTTTACCCCAAACAGTCAGGGGTAACTCTGGCGTCTGCATAGTAAATGCACAATTGAAGCAGAAACAAAACAATGTAATAAAAAAACTGGCAGGGTTTTCTGTTAGTTGCAAACAAACCCAATAGATCATAAAAATGATGCAAGGATGTGCATATACATGCTTGCATGCTACGCTTACATCCCGAGCAGCTGACCAGCAGCCAGAGCATAACCTATTTACAAGCATCTTGATAACTTGTGATAGAGGATCTCAGCATTTCCATGAATAAACCAATTGCACAGTGGTCTTCAATCCTGGTCATGGAGCTGAATTTCTTGACTACCATCTGCCTAATTGCATTCATTTGCTCTCTCTGGTGTGAATAAGTCCTTGATTAGACTGAAACCAGCTGAGCTCTGTGTCCCGAGTACTTGGACAAAGAGGCACTGACCTCAGGTGCCTCTGTGTAAACAGAACACAGGCAAGGTGTGTTTATGAAGGGGGGGTGTATTAGGTTGTCTCCTCAAATCTGATTTCTTCTGTCAAATCCACACATTTCCGTCAACAAAATCGGAAAAAAAGGACTTCCAAGATGACTTATCCTCCACAAAAAATGAAAGAACATAGCTGTTTTGTTTTTTTAGCTACAACTTTAAAGGGCCTAATAATGTTCTGATCAAGTTATAAACAGCATAGAAAGTGTGATAATAGAAATGTGTGGTTTTGGATCATGATCTAAGACATACTTTCTCTGAAAGGAGGCGCATGGAGAGCTTTAAGAAAAAAACAAAACAACCGTTTCAGTGTCCTGACATCTACATAGACAGCAAAACCACTAACAGTCCACAGATGATGGAAAGACAGTGGCTATGAGGAGAGGTGTGTGTTTGTGAGTGTGTGTGGCAGTTTAGTGTACTCAGACATTACCCGTCACTCGTCTTGAAGTAAAACTTGGAATTTCTTTGGTATAAACTTTCCTGTGTGCTTCTTTTGGTGAATCTACATTTATCTAGCACCCACAATTCTTTTATCCTGTCAGTATTCCCTATTTGACATCCTTCTAGCAGTCACCTGCAAATGCAGTCACCTGCATTTAAAGACTGCTTGAAGTGAATGTAATTTGGATTGCGAAAGGCTTGACAGCCCTCCAGTTTAATAATGGTTTGGCATTTGCTCTTTGTCTCACAAGAACAATGTCTTTCCACCTTTCCAGGCTGCACATCCAGGGTTTAAAGAAACAATAAATTAATGTGAAAAAATCTTAAGTTAATAAACATAATTTTTTTGCTTTCAAATCTTTTTCTTTTTTTTAAACTCAACTTCTGTCCCTTTCCCCATCATATCAGCTCTGGAAATGTTCTGACTTTTCAGCACTTGGACAGCTCTGACTTCATGTCTTACAACCAGTAGACGGCAGCTCTTCAAGTCTTGGCTTTTCCTCTTTAAATCCTACAGTATTTTCTTTTTCCACCTAAAGTTCCCGAATGACAAAATGAGCTCTTCGCACTGAAAGGCCAATCAAATAAACTTTAGGCCTGTGGCCACTAATGTGTAATTTAATTTCAGGCCGGTGTCTGGGGCACAAGGACGCACAGCAAAGTCAAGGGCTACTGTACGGAGAGGGCCACACATGTGGGCAGAGGCTGGGGTCTGATCAACAGTCTCACCCAGATCAGAAGGCAGTCCACTGTCTCTGTATACTCTGCAGGTGTGTGAGTGAGTGTTTGTGAGTGCCGGGGAGGTGTTCTTGCAATAGTTGCACAAATTAGACTTGATGTCAGGTAGCTGTTTCGTATATGACAGCAACAAACAATCGCAGAGAAAATCCATTATTCAAAACAAGTCAAATGTTTGGGATGACTGAGCGTCTACACACATAGAAATCTGCCCTAAAGTAGGCGAGTGTCTAACTCGTGGCAATTCAACATGTCAGAGTTTATCTGCATGCAAATGAAATATTTGTATTAGTTTAATTCATAATTAATTTAATTAAATTCAAAATTCATGCTTTACTTATTATGTAAAATAGTGTCATAGGCAGATAAATCACATAATGGAATATGGAGGTATGAATTTGAACAGCATGGTTAATACCAGGGGGGAAAATAAGAAATGTCTGTAATAAACTCGCCCTTGTTCTGCTTGAGTGAACACAGAGGAACATGACCAATAATTACCAAACATCGGGCAGTTTCACTATGTCCCTTTAATGTAAATAGGCACTGGGCTATCACACAAAAATGGCTTTGGCATTCATACATTGAAATATGGCAATGGGACTGCTTAAGTACTTAAAAAAATACAACAAAACAAGCTGTATGACCTCCAGGCTTTAACAGATAAAACATCCCTTACCAGCTGTAGAAACAAGCTGAGATAGTCTAAGTTCATTAAAAACTGTTTCTTACATGTAAAGCTGTTAGGTCAGAGAGAATAACAGGGTGAATCCCATGCACCATTTGCAGTTTGTTGAAGCTTAGCTGGCATTCAGATTCAATTCCCTCAACATTATTGAATATAGTAGAGCAGCACATGCTGACAGGTACAGGCTAGTCCAGCGACAGACGCTAATTAGCAGGAGCTGGAGTAACGGACAAGCAAAGCCTGCTCTCTGGCAATTCATCCAGGGTCATCGCTTTAAGTGTCCTGCTTCCTATTAGACAGCAGATCTCTGGCACAGGCCCCATCACAACGCGTACAGAGTAATGTCAACGATAGATGGAGGATCCTGTCACATCCTGTACTTTCAAAACAGGGCAGCTGCACAGCATACTGCGCAGAACACAACTCAATCAGCTGCATCTACTCACTGTCGCGGCCCTCCACCGACATGAAAGGAGAGGGGCCACAGAAAATAATGGCACGTGTTTACGTGTTTTGATGGAAACTCGAGGGAAAGTCCAAGAGGGAAGATGATGGACTCATCTTCTGCTCAGCAAGGCTCTGACATTCTGCAAGGATACGCTGGAAATAGTCTCCAGGTTGATGGATAGGTGGCGTGGGACTACCCGCCAGACTCATCTTCTCCTTCTCCCCTCTAATGTCTGGCTGTGGCTCCTGGAAGAAGAAAAAAAAAGACACAACAGCACAATATTTATACCTTCAAGTCAGTTATTGTGGGAAAGAAGATCAGCTTTGAAAAATAGAAAGCGATGGCTGACTGATGGTGGTAACGTAGCGGGGACTGACAGAGATTCAGCAAAGCCTTCCAACGGCTGATCATTTTTTTACGCTTTCCATCATTAACATTCAAATCATACATAACAGTCGCAACACTGATAGAAGGGGAAGACATAAATTAAACAGTGGTGAGAACAGAAAAAACATCGGATTTGGAGTCATTAAATAAATAGTTACACTAGAATATGTGCTCCAACGCTGCTACAACCTCAAGTCTCTCTAAATAAAGTCCTCCTCCTCTCCGTCTCTCTGAACTTCCCTTCACTCGCGGCCCCTGTGGACCACCTCCCTGCCAGCACAGCGAAAGAGATTGTTCTCATTGCATCATTAAACAGTTTGAATTAACTTGGGTGGAATTTAATCATGTCACACATGACGCTCTCCTATTTGAAGTGTTTAAAAGCTGTATAGTCGGCTATATGCTCAGACGCTCAGTTATTAGATACATTACTTAAGTCAGTCAGCTATATCTGCTTAATGAATATGCAAGAGTTGCCCATCAGGGCAGTTTGAACCTCTGTTCCTTGGTCAGATAACCAACATATGTACCCTGAGAGGAGTTAATAATCTCTGACTCGTGGCAGTGGAAACTGCTTGTGCTGTGTGTTCTGATTAAACTTCGGCTGCCTCTATCTGTCCTGAATTTTCTCTTGATTTATATGTTCTGTATCATGAATGGCTTTGACTCCCTAAGTAAGCGAATGTATTCCCTCGTTTGAAGCATTCACTTTCAAATTCATAACAGGAAATTCAAAAATAGTTCTGTTGGCAAGCTGCTCATACCACGTAACTGATGCACATTATCATCCCTTTATTACATTTTACACATGACAGCCAGTGTGATGTGGAGAAATCCTAAATGAAAACCCTGAGGGCATTGCTCACTGCTTCAAAATGTCAAAACAAAAACGGCTACAGTTAGAGAGTCTGTCAGTCTGAATGATAGGAATCTTGGCAAATTACAAAGCTTGCCTGAGAATATCTCCTTTAAGGAGCTTTTAAGTATCTAGTCCAGCTTCCATTTGCTCCCTGTCAGGAAGCAATCCAACTTGCCAACTCATCCATCACCAAAATGAACACATTGCGATTCTCACACATGCTTTTTTTGCCATCATATTCAAATCTCCCCGTATGTCTCCCTGGACTGCTCTAAATATGAAAATCTAATGGTGAAAGAGGTTGAGTCCAGAGGTCAGAGGTAATACAAAAAAAGCACTTATTTTGGTGGTTTTCACACACACCCCCACACACATTTTATATACAGAGAACTTAACAAAAAATTCTGACTTAGTGGTTAATAAAATCAAATTTTCTGTCTGAAAATCCTAAGCATCCATGGTAAGAATTAAGTAACCCATCACTCCAACACCTCAGACACAGGCTGATGGACAGATTCATTTACTGCAGGTACACAGGATTGCACGCTAATTCAATCCAGCTATAGGCGGTTGCTTCTGTGGGAGATACAAAAGCAAAGTGGATTCAATCTAATTTAGCATTCTAAATCTACAATCTGCCTATTTCTGTCTTCGGAATCAAAGTGAAACATTTCTATCTTGTCTATGGTTACCCGTTCCTTGGGAAAAAGAAAGAAAGTATATATCTGTAAGATATCATGCCAAGTCAGAAGTAGTTGTGACTTTAGCAAAACAACAACAACAGTCAGAACAGCTATCAAAAGCTAACGCTGGGTATTACACTGTGAGAGTAAATCACTGGGAATAACCTTGAAGACAAAGTCAGAGTAATGAGGAAGCAGATAAACCTCGGTGATACTTAAAGAACATTACCAGGTGATCAAACATTCCACGGCTGCTTCCCCGAACACAAATGGATAATTATGAGGAATAGTGTACGATACTCACAGAGGATATACCGATCTGCCTCCGTGGATACATTTACATTTAAGCAGCCACGTTACAAGCCTGCAATGGAAATAACATCCCAAAGGTCCTGCAGGATGCAAATGGTGGGGTGTGGAGAATATTTAAATAGCAGTTACTCTCATCAGCGTGGGAAGAAGTAAAATAGTCTATTGTTATTAGGCTCAGCCATGCGTGGAAATGTATTGCATTCAAGCAGGCTGAACTGTAGGGTATATGCCGACAAGTAAGACATATAATAAGGTTATATGTTAAATTTCCTCTCAATTTCCACAGCCCCATAATTTTAAAACAAATAGTCAGTCGATATTGCCTTTCCTACGTAAAAAATGGTAAATAATTAGATATATAAATAAACAAATTTTGAAACCTTATAATAGGCCATCTGAGCTCTCTAATGTTTCTAAGAGTAGTATATGAGTTGATTCCAAACTCATGTAAGATAATATGGAATCAAATGCAACTGAATATGTACAAATAGTGGGCTAGCCTCGAACTAATGATGACACACAACAGCGGCTTTAGGGACAAGTTGAAAAGCAATGATGATCCACTGGCGTAAGCCACATTCAGTGGTCTAGTGGTTTGTGTGAAATATGGTCACTTATTTGCAGGCCAACAGTAGACTAACCACAGGCAGTATTAAATGTCATCTAAACACAGGTAACTCCTGGGAGCCATGATATGTATAAGCTGGGGCTTAGACATAAAAAAGTGTATTCTGATTCTTGATATATGCCTAAAGTGATACTTATCCAGCCGTGACTGCAAAATTCAAAGTGTACACAAATGCCAGGAGGGCAAAAATGTACCTAAATTAGCTCAGCATATCATGTCATTGCATACCTTATGGAGAGATGTTTTTTTTTCCAGCTATCAGACAGAGACAACAAGCAATCACCTGTTTTTACATTTTTATCTTAAGCAAAGCTAAGTAACAGCAGCTTTTGGCTATATGGTTTGTTCAGAAGCGATTCACATCAGTCTCATAATCTACTCCTCAACATGAGAGCATGAAAGACTCTGCAGAGGCCGTCCTGTGTGGGACTGGGCTGGGGTATTCACACAAGTTACAACACCTAACAATGATCACTGAAAATGATGGAGCAATGCAGCAGCTCTCGCTACAGGCTTTGCTACTTTATCCCAATAAAAATAAGCCAGAGTGAGTTGTCTGACAGGTCATTCAGTTACCACACAGTTATTCCAAAGCAGCAGCATACATCACACTTGAAAAAATCTTGCACCTTCATCAGCTCTTATACCATGGAACAGTCGAGGTAACCAATTTCCAGCTACTCTGTAGAAGTAGTCTTCAGCCCCCCTGGTGTTAATTATAAGAATTTTTCACCTCAGAGGCTAGGTGGGACATGGAAGTGCATTAATCTTAATTCTCCACCTCAATCTACAGCATCATTTGAAGAGACTCCTGTGGTAAACTCCAAAGGCGAGGTGACACAGGGGGAAGACAGAGCACTGAGGGAAGAAAGGGCCTCTGTTTGTTCTGCACTTACACCGATTCGCGGGCCACCTCAACAGGCAAGTCAATCATTTTGCTCGTGGAATTCTTTTGCTTTTTGTCAGCATGTTAATCTGAATGAATATTTAGTCCCACACAGGATGACATGTCAGGCGGCTCCCACCTGGGTTGTGATTGATTTATTTTCTGATGCAGCATGACGGTGACTGTCACCTTATAAGATGAACTGAGCAGAGCTGAGGGACTGTGACATGTTTCAGTCAAAGAGTTAACAATTCAGCCCCGGTTCATCTCACAGGCAGCTCAGAGCTCATTGCCATAGTGGTCAATTCCCGTTTGAGGCCGCTTTTCTTTCCCTTTTTCTTTTCAGATATGGATTTTGCATGCATACTCTCAGTGCTAGCTAATTTTATTTGTCCTGTGTAGTTGTAAATGTTGTACACACATTGAAAAAGAATGGATTTTAAACAATTAGAGGATTGCTTTTTTTTTAAAAGCCAACAAAAAGCTTCATATGGAAATGAAAAAGGCTAGTAATTTAAGCAAAAAACAGTAAAACACTAACTTTTAACCAATTAATAATTCATATTTGCTAATGCACTACATCTAAATTGCCTGTGATTTTAAACAATGAAGCTCTCAGTCCACTCTCACACTTCACTTATCACGAGGGTTTCAGCATCATCACTTCTGAGCACTTGATTTTGTATTATTTGCTCTTTGTCGTCTGATTGTGGATCTTTTCACCTCATTAGTTAATTATCTTCCACCATTAAAACACAAACAAAACTGAAGCAGTGACTATGTAGAGATGACATGACTGTTTAATCTCCGTCTTTTTGAGCATGTGATACTTCTCCCGCTGTTTCACAATAATGTGTGCACACTTCAGAAAGCTTCACTTGAAAGTCACAGGGAATATGTCTTGCGTATTCCCATCACAGCGAGGGGCCAGTTCAGTGTTTAGGTTTACGCCATCTTTGAATTCCCTGCGCTGAACATTTTCACTTTGATAGCCAGCAGCTTTGTAAACAATATGCCGCTTTTTCTTCTACTCATAACCAGGACTAATTAGTTTGGAAATTGGACGCCAGTCATTGCTGCTTCCTGGGAACAAGAAGAAAAAAAGAAAAAAAGAAAGTCAAACAATAAAAAGTGTTGACGTAAAAGAGGAAAGTCAGTTTTCATGTTGCGAAACAAAACGGTACTTGGAATTGACAAATGTTCGGAACGACTTTTCTTCATCTGTGCAGGCAGGGAAACAGACAGTGAGCAGCTTGGAGGAGGAATATAAAGTGATGTTCATTTGCTGTGACAAAGAGCGCGGTTTGTTGAATACATGGAAAGCAAACCATGTCATCACCATGGAGTTTTAAACATTACAGCACAAAACATTAACGTCCCATTTTGAATCCTGTGAGATCACCTGCCAAATCTGTACATTTGGGAGTGAATTTATCCGACATTTAATAATAGCATGGCATCAACACATACTGTGCAAATGTTGTGTTTTT